TCCTCACACTCTTCCCCTGCTCCAGCATGGGGTCCCTCCCACAGGAGACAGTTCTCCATGAACTTCTCCTACGTGAGTCCTTCCCATGGGCTGCAGTTCATGAACTGCTCCAGCGTGGGTCCTTTCCATGGGGTGCAGTCCTTCAGGAACAGCGTGTGTCCCCCACGGGGTCACAAGTCCTGCCAGAAAACCTGCTCCAGCATGGACTCCTCTCTCCACGGGGCCACAGGTCCTGCCAGGAGCCTGCTCCAGTGTGGGCTTCCCACGGGGTCACAGCCTCGTTCAGGCACCCACCTGCTCTAGTGTGGGGTCCTCCACGGGCTGCAGGTGGATATCTGCTCCACCATTAACCTCCATGGGCTGCAGGGGGACAGCCTGCCTCACCATGGTCTTCACCACTGGCTGCAGGGGAATCTCTGCTTCGGCGCCTGGAGCGCCTCCTCCCCCTCCTTCTTCACTGACCTTGGTGTCTGCAGGATTGTTTCTCTCACATATTCTCACTCCTCTCTCCAGCTGCAATTGTGCAGTGGTTTTGGTTTTTTTTCCTTCTTAAATATGTTATGCCAGAGGCGCTACCACCGTCACCGATGGGCTCAGCCTTGGCCATAGGACATAGAGGAAGCTTCTAGCAGCTTCTTACAGAAGCCATCCCTGTAGCCCCCCTGCTACCAAAACCTTGCCACGCAAACCCAATACAGTAGCCTTCTGTGCTGTAGGCTCAAATGTGCCATGCCTTTGTTACTCTGACCATAACTGTTGCCCAAGATAATGCCATCTTCACAGCATGCTAGCATTAGGGACGTACATTTATGCCGCTAGGTAACCAGATACCATTACACAGACTCTGTGCTATTAAGGAGGGCTTCCCTGGCCTTGCTCCCCAGCCTTCCCAAATCCCTTCTGGTAACGTTGCTCTGTAGATGTAGTTTAAGGTTCAGAGCAACCTGTTTTCTCAGCATCTGAAAAGAAGTGCCTGAGATCCTTCTTTGTAGGAAAGACCCATAGAGTGCAGATATTTTTCAGGCTGTGTATTTTACTTGTAGCACAGCGGGACTGTGAGCAATGACTTTCATAAGGTGCTAGAAGGCACCACTATAAGCTAAATGTGGTATATCCAAGTGATTGTATTTCTAAACAGAGCATAAAGCATTGTATGTTGTTAGCATCTTCTGTTTGAAGGACCAGCTTTAGGAAAAAGCGTACAAGTAATTAATTTGCTTCAATAATGGTCCATTTGTCTTTCCCTCCAGGTCTTATCTCTCATCAATAAGTTCTCCGGCCTTCATAAGTCCCCCAGATGGGACTTCCATCCTCTTTTGTCCAGGCAGAGTTATTGTGAAGGGGCGGCGTCTCCGAGGACTGCTCTGGCAAGAGGTGGCTCATCCTGGAGGTAAGCTCATTTGCCACAGTCATGAATGGTGAGAAAGAGTAGGGTGAGGTGGCGGCATAGCTGGGGGAGTAGTGGACATCTTCAAGAGGATGCAGAGGGTAGGGCTGGGCTCCAGGAATAGCTGGGGTCCAACTTGAGCTTCGGTATGGGGAAACACCTCCGGACTCGTGTGAGGTGAGGCAGCTGGCACTGGCAGGCAGTGCTTGCAGAGGGTCTGAGCATGCACCGTCCGACTGGTTGAGGCTGTCGGGTGAGGTCTGCTCCCAGGGCTCTCTCTGCATGGAAGCGGGGAGAGAAGGCAAGAAAGACCCTTAAGAATAAAAGCTTGTCCTGGAGGCAATGGCATACCTAGCTTGGCTTCACCAAGCCAAGCTATCCCAAGAGCCTAGCTGGGAGCACTCACAATGGTTTCTGTCACTCTGGAGCAGTATTTGGTGCTAAAACTGTTGAAAGGAAGCATCCATGCTGTCAACAGTGGGCAAGGCCTGGAATAGGCTCCCAGTGGGACTGACCAGCCCTGACCCTGCAGGGCCCAGGAGCTCTGCCTGTGTGTGAATGGAGCTCATTCACGCTGCTCTGGGTGTGAATGGAGCTGGCTCCCAGGAAGCGGCAGGGATAGGGATAAGCAACTGCCTGGAGCCGACGAAGGATGTTTCTAGAAACTTAAGGAGCTTAATGGAGTAGTTGTTTTGGGGAGCAGGGAAGGTTGTTAATTTAGGAGCTGGTCTCCAACAGGAAGAGGGGACAATTAGATGGAGGACAGGAACAAACAGAAAAACAGTTCCCCCTCAGCCCTGCCCCATCTGCTGTGTGTGCTGCTGTGGCTGCCTCCTGTAACAGCCACATCCTTCCCGCACAAGTCTCCCTGACTTAACCCCAGCTTTAAATTGGGTAATCTTTCATTGGGTGACTGAGAACCGTAGATTCACTCACTAGTAGGAAGTGCGCTGTGTCAGTAGGGAAGGATGGCAGGAGAGGGGGCACAGAAGAAGGGCTGAAGAAGGAGCTGGTACCCGCTGTGAGGGGAGTAGCACGGTAATCCCCATATTGGTCGGTAAGACATGGGTCCAGAAGCGCCGGGTAGCCCTGAGTGGCAGAGGAATCGCATGAGAAGGGCTTGGAGCCTAGAGGGGATGAGTAGATGTCACTGGCAACCTGCTTTGTGTTGTGGAAGTCCAACTCAGTTGTGAAGGATCTCCTGATGCCGTAGTAACCAGCCGTGGTAGGTGAGCCTGTGGTGGTCAGAAAAAAGGGTTGGCTAAAGGGAAACTGTAACAGCAGCACCTGGGGAGCCACAGAGCTATGGGCACCTCTGCAGGTGCAAAGTAGAACCCTTTTCTCTCTAGCATCACCCGGGGCAGGAGTCAATCCTGTCTTGCAGCAGGTGTGTCAGCCCAAGTGCTTTTAGCACCTCAGACTGCCCTGATCCAGCTGATGACCTCCATCTGCAGCAAATCAAATGTGTTTTGGGAAGCTTCAAGTATGAGGCCAGGGGGATAGAGGTTAGCTTTGCCAGTGTTTGCTTATTCCTTGCTCTGCTACAGCTCCTGGGGAGGAGGATAGAGTTACAGCTGCAAAACCACCTGCCTCTGTTCCAGCCTCACTCCCCTTTCCCTGCCAAAGAGCTCCAGGGATAAAACAGGTCAGCTTCTGATTTCATACTTTCTTTCTTCAGCTCCAGGGAAAACTGGAAGACACAGAGGGAAAAGAAGGGGTTCCGTGTGGCACCTCTATCAAAAGAGGTGGGAACTGCTTTAATTACCTCCCTTTCCCCTCTTTGGGAATTTCATACAAGGCTACAGGGGCCTTTCTTTTATTATTGCTGTTCCTGCTTTGACTCTTTCAACTACTTTTCTCCTGGGCTCCCTCTGAGGGGTGGTCCTGCTCCAGTGCTCCTTTGCTCACTTCATGTCCTTTGGAGGAGAAGAGACAGGAGTGGTTCAACGCAGGTATTGCGTTGAAGGTATTTATCGGTGGAGGAAAACCTCACCTGGTGTTTGGAGAAATGGTGACTGCGGTGTGGTGGTGCTGCCCTGCAAAAGATAAAGACATGTTAAAAAATATCTTTTCAAAGTAAGGCAGCTCTCTAAGCATGTAGTTTGGGAAGGTGTTGGCATAATTCAGATGCACTGTGTGAGCCTTGGTGCTATGAGTATGAAGAGCTTAACTACAAGATTTCAAGCCTGGGGCCTCTGAGGTATTAGCAGATGTAGGCTAAGAAGAGATTTTGAAGGTCTTGTGTAGAGCTGATAACAGTAGAAATATCAAGATAACTGACTTGTTTCTCATATACTGCAGGGTCCCTTAATGCAGGCATAATGCTGAGTCGTCATTTTGGTGTTGGCACAAAACAGGTCTCAATGAGCTGGTATCCAAGTCCTCGATTGGTCAAAACAAGCAGATTCTACACTGCTGATATTCTAGCCCAGCTCTCCTGTGCTGCATCTACCTGCCACAGAGCCACTTTAGCTGGCCCCTCCTAGCAGAACAAGCAGGCTGTGTGTAGAAGGCAGTTGTTTCTAGCTCTTATTTGGGTGCTACAGCAATACTGATAATAATCTCCTCTTGGTCCCTAGATAAGAGAGAATTAGCCCTGAGTGACACTGGTGCTCACAGTGGCTAATTCCTTACAAAGCTCCTATGGAGCAGAACTCGTACATGGAGTTTCATTGAGTTCTGTCTCCAGACCTCCAAACCCATAGAGCAGAAATACAGTGCCCACTGTAATTGGGTAAATGCCCCAGTGCATTTACCTCAGCTGTGCTGTCGCTCTGGCCAGTGATGGTGGCATGCTATTTCCAGTTTGCATACTGCAAACAGGAGGCTCCTGCCATAGCAAGCAACCAAATTTAGAGGTTTAGATTTGAATTAAATTTGCCAGTGCTAGGACTTCCTTTTACTGCTGAGGGAGGTTTGCAGCTGCTCCCTGCTCTGCCATGAAAATGAGCTCTGAGCCCACACAAGTCACATGGGCTGCAGGAGTGATAGGACGGAGCCCTTTGGCTTGCAGGCAGATGAGAGCGTTCATATTGCGGGGTCAGGGCCGGGGCTTGCACCTGTCTCCAGCTGGGCCATTTTTGGCCGCAGACCTCAGTGAGGATCATAGCTGGTAATGTACACTGCCCTGCAAAGCTAAAGCCTCCACATGCAAATCTGGTCTCAGCAGACACCCCTCTCAGCATTCATGTCACTTTAGTAATACCTTCTCCTGCTTCAGGGTTTTTCACCACCACCTCCTCTGCCTACCCATGGCCATCGTATCCTGCAGCCAGCTTGTGTCTGCATTCACTGAGGAGGAATCTCTTTGAAAGTAATGGTGCAGGCCTCTGCACTAGTGTTTAGACCCCGGTCTTAACACCCCACCGGGAAGTAGTCTAGTACTGTTGTCTGGCACCCCTAATACTGTGTTTGAGGAAAAAGTTGAGTTAGGAGGTGCAGGTAGCACAGATGCTGCCTACAGGTCAAAGGGCTGCAGTGATGAGAGCTGGGATGCTTTGCTGGAAGGACAGGAAGGTCCCTGGGCACAGCTGCCAGCCTCTAGTATGGAGCACTTCAAATTACCAGTGCATCTCAGTTCATCTTTGATTCTGCCTGTTCAACAGCCACTGCAAGTATCTGACTGTGTGTCACCGGCAGCAGGTCCTCTCACATGCACCTATGATGGATAGCCACAGAGCTAACGTTAGCTGCAAGGGCTTTACCTGCCTTAATTCAATTGTAAGAGCCTCTGCAGCAGCCCATCTTTGACCTTCATCATAGCAGGCACATGCATACTTGCAGAGACCTGCATTTCATTTGCCTCCTGGCTCCTTATCAGGTGACAGAATTGCTTGGCTTAATTTAAGCCCATTAGTTAATTTCCTCCCTGCATTACTTCCTTTCAGTGCTGTGGGACCGGGGTAGCTGGATCTTCTGCAACACACCAGTGTATCTGTTTAGCATCACTTGAGCCTGCAGCGTATTCAGCTGTTGATAAACTTGGTCTCGGCTTGCCTCGCACACGACCGGGCAGAGGTACTGGCTCGGGGTACTCCAGAGCGCTGTGTTGCTTCGCTGCCTTGGTAACCCAGGAGCATTGTTCAGCTACAAGGCTGCTTTGGGGGCATAAATGTAAAGATCCAGGTCAAAATAATGACCTGGTCCTGCAATGGGGACCTATGGTGCCCTTTGACCATACTTTGACTTCAGTGTATCTCCTCTCTGGGCCCAATCTGTAGTACAGCAGCTGAATCAATAAAAATTAATAATAAAAGCAAAGCTTAGTCTGGGCAGGGCACCTCACTGGTTTGCTGACGGCAAGTTTGCTGAATGATCTGTCCCTGGACCTTGAGTGCTGCTGGGCATAGTGCTTCATCTGCGTACCGACCAGCTTCCCCACCTGAGAAAAGTGCGTAATCCTTTCATCACGCAGGGGGTAACTGCTGGTTCATGCCTATGCAGTGGATGAGCCAAAGGAAAAAATGTCAGACCCTCCCTAAAGCCCAGGACCAAGCCCTTCTGCCCTGCAGTTGGTGGGGACTCAGAAGCCCAAATTGTGTGGTTTTCATCACGGTACACACTGGTTTCCTATCATTTAATGTGTGCAAGGGCCTGGCTGTCATGAAATTGTTGCTGTTCTGCTGCCTTGGTAAACAGCCCAGCAGCTCACCTTGATGAGCTATGACCTTTCTATAGCAACACAGATCTCCTCCGTAGACCTCCTCTTGCACGACAAAGGCTTACTGATTTTGGAGCAAAGATCATGTTCAAACAAAAGATGCAGCTAAATTACACTGCATCATAAATATACAAAGGGGTGTTCAGTTATCTGCCGTTTGCTTTGATTCTGGATTATATTATGTCCGATATACAGAGCTGCACTTACAGCTGTTCTTTTCATGATACGTTCGAGCAAATACGGATGTTTGCCCTGCACAATAATTTTTCGTCTCTCAGAGAGAGTTAGCAACAGGGCTGATTTTGCATTAGATAGACACACAACTGCTAAGCTTTGTAATACAAAGCAAAGGGCAATAAAGCAAGCAGCAAGTGTTTTACAGTTCCTAGGGCTTTTGATTGTAGCCGTTGAAGCTGCCGCCTCCAGAAAGGGAGCAGGTAAAGCATGATAGTCATGAAAAAGCATCTGTTTTCTCAGTGAGTGCAAACACAGTAGTTGCTTCCTGCTGCTCCCCAAAGCAGTCTTTCCAAATGCCTGCCTGGTGCGACCATGTGGTTCCCAGTGACTGTCCATGGCTCAGGGGGTCTTCTGCCTTTCTGCATTAGCTGAAAGCTCTGAAGAGATCTATGGCTAGATCTTGCTTTGTTTGGTAATGCCCATGCTGTTTTTCTGCCTGTCTTGTTACAGAGAGTTAACATGCATGAAAGTAACAGTGAGAAAAATACTTGCAAGTCCCTCTGAGATCTCTTTGTTTTGCTAAAGGCAAAAAGCCTGAGGCAAATGGCTTGGGAGGAAAAGAGCATCCAGACTTCTAATATGTGTCTTCTGCTGCCAGTAATTCAGGTCTCTGCCCACCCTTTCCTTCCAGGACACAGTTTCAGCAGCTTGACTGCATCTCCTCATCTGTCAGTGGCCCCATTGCTCCCAATCAGCCTGGAAGTGAAGTGCTGCTGCTTGGTAAAGGTGAGTCTTGAGAGCACACAGGGAATGGCTTACTGTGCCACTGGATGCCACAGGCTGGCACCTGCAATATTGCGTCCCCTTCTGGGGACAGCGTTGCTTTTCTGGCTAGCAATCGAGAAAAAACAATGTAGCGTACTATAATTTGACTTAGGTTTCCTGTTGCCATAGAACCACTTTAAAAAGAAATCCTCTCTTACAAACTGATGCTTGGCCTCTTTCCAGACCATAACATCACTGCATCTCCCCTGGCACTCTAGTATGCCAGAGAGGAGCTGGAAGGAGCACAACGTTCAGGGAAGAACATCTATTTTTGTGGCACTGAGTTGTTCAAGTGTAGCTAGTGAAAAGGAAGTTGACTTGGAAAGGTGTCATATGCAGGATGTGAAAGGAATGAGAAATTTAGCATTACTGATTTGCTTAAAAAAAAAAAAGACTTTAATCCCTAAAGGTTCACTGATGTAAAAAATCGAGGAGTCCTCTGTGATCTTTTGGGGCAAACACTAGTGTTGCAAATGTTTTTGCTATTCCCTGTCAATATTAGCAGTGCCCTGAACTCAACGTAAATGCTCTTTAAACCAGAGGATTACATGACATGATTTTTCTGGGTTTAAAAAAAAAAAAAAAAAAGGCGGGGCGGGGGGGAAGTGACTTACAGTGAAGCAGGAGCCACTGCTCTGCCTGGATCGTTTTTCAGCAAGAAGATCTTTGACTGTGTGTTTCACTCGCACTCCTTGGTACACCCGTTTGCCAAAATCTGTAGGGACTGAGGGAATGAAATGAGCATTAGAGGAGTTCAGTGAAAGCATAGAGCAGCTGGAAGAGGTTGTTACGGAAGAAGCAAATTCATCACCTCTGTACACCAAGTTAGGAAGGAGGCATATAAGACTGCTATTATTAATACAAAATCATCCCTTAGGAGCCCAACAGCGAAGGCTCCTCATTTGCAGAGAACAAAGACTGAGGTGCCCTACCCTGTATTTCAGCATTGGGTGCCATGTGGTTTCTGTGCAGCTCCCTCTGCGCCAGATATGGCTAGCTGATGGTTTTTGGCTTTTGTTTTTCGAAAGAGAGCTCTGGGGGATCCTGCATTTCCCCTTCGGGTCAGCAAAATTTGATTTAACTGTACAGCTCCTATTGCTTTCAGCAGAAATGCTGTGGTTTAGCTCCTCCTTGCCCTTCTAGAGTTGCTGGCTTTCAGCACATCGCTCTGCGAGCTTTGATCTCTTTGCAGGGAAGGTGGAAATACCCCAGACAGTTGGAGTGGCTCCTCTGAATGGTGATGTGAGTCACAGTCCAGACCTCAGGAAAGGAAAAGGAGCCAGCTGCTCAGTTTCTTTGTATCCACAGCAAATACAGACAAGTACTTGGGGACTCTGTTTTATCAAGGTTATCGAGGAAGGCACAAAGAGGGGTACAGCGTCTCGGCCATGTCACTCAAGAGGCTGATGGCAGGCCTGGCTCTGTTTTCCTGACCTGCCTGGAATACAGCACAACCTGTCCATAGGGTCTGTGTGACTTTTGGTGCGAGGCATCTGTCCTCTTCCTCTGCCTGGATAAAGCTTTGCAAGATCTGCCTTGTGTACAGGTGTTTGGCACAAGTGAGGGCAGAAAGGTATGAGGTACAATACCAGGGACAGCTCTTTATCCTGGCTAGTAGGCTGTGCCTGAACAGAGAGCTCGCGCCTGTGGAGCCCGGGAGGAGTGTCCATATGGACTTTTATTGAAATCTTCCAGAGAAGAACTTAACTTTGAATCTAATCCCTTGGAAAACATGCAGCCGTGTTCTCCCAAGGGAACACAAACAGGCATTCCACAGCAGATGTGTTTGATCTCTAAAATTGTGATTTATCATTTTGCCCTTCTGCTTTTCAGGATGTGAAAAGCCTCATTGGCTCCATTTATCACTTTCATTCATGTGGCATCGTGTCCCCAGGTGCACAGACACAGGGAAGAGTAGAGGGTTTAAACAACACAAATCTCAGTGCTGGCTTGGGGTTACCCCAAATGTTTTCCGTTAGGCCATAGCAATTGCAATTTTGGGCAACTGCAACTTGATTTTGGTGTTTGAGTACTAACCAGAGACACTTCAGCCAAGACTGGGCACAAGGCAAACACATTGCAAGAGACAGTGCCCCAAAAAGCATATGATCAAAATGGTCAAAATAGAGGTGAACACTGAGTCTGCATACTGACCAGCGAGTATCTGTGGACAAGCCAGGACACAGACAGAAATGGGTATCAACTCTTGCAGCTGAGAGGAATCTGTGTGCTGAGGCTGGCTCTCTTCCGTGGCCCAAGGAAGAAATCTCCCTCCTGTAGTCCCTTTTCAGGGCTGTTTTTACTGAGAGCAGTTGGAAGCACACGTACCCAGTGTGCACACGTAGCTGGAGCTCAAAAGCTGTGGCAGAGCAGCTATAACTGGCAGAAACAGCTATACTTTCTGCATTGGAAACTTTGCTTCTTTGCATGAGAGTTCCTTTAGAGATAACAGCATTGCAATTTGATGGAAAAGTCTGAACTGTATAGGACAGTTCATTGAGCTCCATCATGGTTTGATACCTGCGATAACTCATGCAGCCTTTGCTAGCTGCATCCAGTTGAAGATTCAGGCCTTCATTCAGCACAGAACTTCTGGAGGAGGACCGAAGCCAAGGAGAGAGTCTTATATTTAATTTTCAGAATGGGGATATTTCTAAAATAGCATCACTGGAAAAGCTGTGAGCAGCTTTTATTCTTTTATTCTGCAGTCTGATATTGCCAAATCCTACAACCTCTTTGTATTAGCTGACCTTGCTTCTCTGTGACCATTTCTAGCAAGCGTCTGATGCTCTGCACTTCTGCAGTCCTGTTTTCCTAACATCTTTACTATGGTCTAAAGACATTAGAAAAACACTTCCACACCTCCTTACTTTTACACATGGGTGCTGTGCTATTGAAGTTACTTCACTCATATACTCACAGCTATTACTCTGCTCAGGTTCTTATAAGTAACGTAATGGCTCTGTCCTCTAACCCTGTTTTTAACTTAGCAGTCCAACCTCACATAACTAAACCT